ACGCCGCCATAATTGACGCACCACAAACCCGATGTCTAGTGGGTAGCGCCAGTAGGTGGCATCGTGTGTGACTGCTCTCGGCTTGTTCCTCCAGCACACTGAATGAGCGGCGGTAGCAACGACCGGCGTCGGAGGCGGCATCTCCGTCTCTGTCTAGCATCCCTGCTGCAAGCACCGCCCCTAACAGGCACGACCCAACCAATCAATACCGCAACGTAACCCTCGGACCGGCGCTACACTCTTCAAGGAGCGCAACTCTGCAATAAACTGCAGCTCCCCGAAAGGAGGGTTAACAATTTTTTGACACCTTATTGTATTTCAGGTGTCGAAACGTAATTGTTTTCGACTCTAGAGTACGTACATCTCTTACGAATCAATTGTTTAATGCAGTAGCACCAGGATCAAACCCTTGTATTCTACATAACAGTTAAATGAGACATGTCCACAATGTTTGTATGGAACTATTGTCTGTGTTTAAAAATACAAAATATGTTAAAATGACACAGAATTCAGTCTTCAGACAGACGACTACCTCACGTCTGTGCATTATCGTCCTGCTATGACTGTGACGCTGGATGTTGGGGGGAGAAACCTTTGCTATCCCTTTGCAGTCTAGTAGTAAATGTCTTGACTCACCTGCTTGACAATCTGTAAGTTGGCACTTATGCTTTATTTGATTTTCAGTGCAAACAGTGATTATATCCTTTGATGAGTGTTAACGAATTGATATTCGTAATGGTGAAGTGCTGTTTTCTCTTTGCGGTACGAACCGAGATATTAAATAATAGCAGAGAACCCGCAGTGCTACCGTGGCGACTTGGGCGACTATAGTAAACAAGTCGATCTGGGCGACTATGATATCTGTGGTGATCAAAGGAACCATGAACATTTAAGGCGACCGTGGCGACCTATAGGGCCGTGGTGTCAGATCGGCCTTGGCGACTTGGCTTTATATGCGTTTCGGCGTCGCGACGGTTAGCGTCTGTTTTCCAACTTTGTGTTAAATGTCATTTCAGGGACCACCTAAGCTAAGTTTTGAGCCCTTTTCTGCGGCTTCGCGACGCTGTGCGTTGGTTTGCCAGCATTATGGCATGTTGAGGCCTTTCTTGGTCTGATTTGGAATTTGAGGCGTCGCGGTCTCAGCGTTGGTTTTCCGGTGTCGTGTCGTATCACATCCTTAGGCTCTTCTACGTTACATGTGGTGTTCATGTGGGCGTTGGAATGACTTACATTCAGATGCTGCTCGTAGGTTTTGCCAGCAATGTGTCAAATCGCTTCTCGATTTTTTCTTGGCTTCGTTGTAGTGTTCTGAGTCGGTGTTGCGACGTGGGGCGTCACGAC